ATATATTGAATAGCTTAGCTAGAAACGGAGCAATACAATCAATGCTAAAAAGAACAAGATTGTAACTTATTTGGTCTATACCCATACTTTTAGATTTAATTCTTTTAAATGCCTTATAAATATCATATTCTGAAATATTTTTAAAAATAAGCTCACCATTGTTAAGGCTCTCCAGCCTATTGCCCTGATAAAAATTCATTAGTAAATTGTCTATCGGAGTAGCTAATTGACATACACTCGCAAAAGAGTTACTGATTTGGTCCACATCTTTCAAATGAATAGGTATTTCACTGTTTTTATTAACCTTGATATTCCAATCATTGATCCTATTCCAAATTTTCTTTGTATCTTTTTTATGTTTATGAAGTTCAAATGACATGTATGCTTTCTTTTCACTTCTAATTGCAAAAGAAAGATAGTTTTTAATGTCCAGATAAAAGTGCTTGTGTTCAATTTGACCAGTTTTTTTAAATTTATTGAATGCTGTTTTCTTTAATTTAATAATTTGCCTAATAGTGTCAGTAATGTAAGGTTTATACTTTTTTTTAATAACTGCTTTTTTTGTTGGGGCATGTTTATTGAAGATGCCAGCCAGCTCGTTACTGAAACAAGCTACCTTGTCATCCAACATTTCATGGCCCAAAATAAATTCATAATTTATGTCCTGTATCTCTAATTCAAATTGCCTCCTATCAAAGTGCTTTAAATCTCTATAAGATATAACCTTATCATCTATTTTGGGAGCTTTGATGCTAATTGAAGAGTACACAAGTCTATGATCAGTTAGGTTAAGCATGCCCAATGTTCCTGACTCAATAACACTGACACCCTTATTGACACAAATAATATCAATTAGAGTTGCACTATTTCTACTTATTCTAGTGGGTTCAGAGATGACTCGTTTCAAATTATAAATTTCTAACACTGATTCCATATAATCAGAGTCAGCAGTTTTAGTAAGAAAGTTTATATTTAAATCACCCATTAAAATTGTGTAGTCATATGATGAGGACAAGCTAGATAAAATATTCTCTAAACTAGATAGGTAGTTATAGTTGACCAGTGGGGGTTTATACAAAGTACCAACTAAAAAAGACTTATTTTTATAGTTGATATCCACCCATAGTTGTTCAACTTTATTGTCACAGTTTTTAGCACCATTTTCATTCCCTTTTAGCATGACACATTTCAAACAGTCAGCAACATACAAACATACACCACCACCCCTCGACTCTCTGTCTGCCCTATCTATATAAGTTATACTTAGGGATACTGACCAGATTGTCAGGGTATGTTGATGTTAGCCATGATTCAGTTACACCAAATAAATGAAATTTTTCATGCTGTAACATTGCAGACACATCAGAGAAAGAAGGAGTAAGCGATCTTATGTTTACATGACCTACATATAAGTTATCATTTGTATCTGTATTTTTTGACACTTTTTGAGTTCCATTATCTATATTATTTATAAAAAATCACCACCTCTATTTAGACCTAGTTCACCACTCATACTGTCTAAAAAGTCCCTATGTTTATTAAAATTGAACCTACTAACCCCTACATACTTTGGCCAAAACCCACTATCATACATATAGTCTTTTTTGTCCATTGGGCCTACCACCAAGAAGTTTTTTAATCTATGTTCTTCTGTGGGAATCTCCTTTACAAACAAGGTAATATTTCCAAACCCATTCTTTTTACGAATATAATTCGTGATAACTTCCTCTGTAGCAGCGCGTTTCACCCTGTTGATGTAGAGCCAAACTCTTCGATCTCCACCTTCAAAGTGTTGATCATTTTCACCTGTGCCTAGATTTTTCTTTTTCCTATTCCTTCTTTGGACTGGAATAAACTCATTATCAGAGCTTTCATCACTCTGGTTTCCACTTCCATTACTCTTTGATACTTTTAGTGATCTTTTAAATTGCCCGCTCTGGCCTCTTACAGTATTGCCATTATTTGAAACTCCTTGCCTTTGCTTCGTTGACATCGATCCCGTAGCCACATCTCTATATGATGACACGGCACTATTTGAAGGTCCCTGGCCTCGATTCGTCGATATCAATCCCGACGCCACATCTCTATATGATGACACCTGTTTGACATCGGCGACAGCGGGGATGTCGGATTCTGTCGTGTCGATCCACCTTTGTTTTTATTTACATTTCTTACAGTTTCCAGATTTATAATTTTCTCACACAGTAATCCGTTATTTTGTTTCAAAACGTTGTTTTTGTCTGACATTTCCTCAAGCATTTTCTTAAGGTACCCAATTTCTAAGGACATCTTCTCCATTTCCACTTTCTTAACGGCATTTGTACTTACGTTTCCCTCGTCTCCAGCTGTCAAATTAACTGGCTCCGAGCAACACACAATTTTTGTTTTATCTATTACTTTGATAATACTACCCATCCGCTTCACACAACTATTATGATAGATTGAATAACAGTTTATACATACGCATACACTGCAACTTTTTTTAGCACAGCATTTAAACCCCGTATTTTTCGCATCGATTGCACTGGCATCAGAATCGCCGTCAGACTCGCCCGCCATCTTTACAAAATAATAATGTAATCATATATAAATTAAATACTCAAAAATTGTAAACATTTTTTGAAATAAATTGAAATTGAAATTAAATTTTACGAGATCTACAAGTTTTGCATTTTAATTTTTTCTCCCGAGTTTTTTGTTTTCGAGTTAGGTCGCTTTGAAAATTAAAAAAAAAAAGATTGGAAGGCTTATACCTATGTATCCCCATAGATTTTTTTTTCGAAAAAATTGAAATTTTGAATTTCGAAAAAAAAAAAATAATAACATTGGAAAGAAAAGTAAAAAATACGACGAAAAGTTAATTTGACTCTACTCGCTACGGCGCATCTTAAGGCCGGAAAAAAATGAAAAAGGAAATTTCGATTTTGACCAGAAAAAAATTGTGGGTACCCGACACAGATCACCTAATACAGATGCGAAAGTACGTATACTTGTCGTCGACGATTTCTGTGACGAAGCCGGGCCACCAGCTCCCCGACGCGTAGATAAAGATCGCCCGCGTCAGGACAATTAACGTGGCCGAGTGCGTGAGCATGTTCCAGCCTGTGTGTTTACATATTTTTGCGGGTAGAAAAAAAAAATTTTTTGCTGTTTGTGAACCAATTAAAGAAATAATATTATATTATTGAGCTTCCGCATTTATATAATAAATATGTTCAAAATACATTGATGTGGCATTGGTGCGGCCAGCCTATGTCTATCAAATTGTTGAACCACGAATTCGCAGCTCTTTCGCATCTGTATGTAAGTAATCTGTGTACCCGACATGAGGCCACTTTGTCAGAATCCCTGTCCTGCAATTATTCTGACATTAGAGGTCAACTGGAAGCTAGACTTTGACATGCACCAAAACCTCTGAGACATGCGTGACATGCGTCACTGAAATCTAGCATTCAAATGGACCGCGGATCTGAGCGTCCAATAGAAATGCCGGAAACATATCGAACCACTACTGGCGTTCAGCGACCATAGTCTCGAAGAGCGGCTAGCCACACACATAGTTGAAAACTGCCATCCTTGCTTTTTTTAATCTCTGATTTATGCATTAAGAGTTCCATGTTACTTTCCTAGTTGGAAGTTGTAGAATTATAGTTGATTGATATTTTTTTGTATCAGGTGCATTGTAAATTATTGTGCAATCCTGTTGCAGAAAGTACATAATTATTATTGTAATTAATCATAATTATCAATTTGTATTTTTTATTTTTCATTTTTCGTCAAAATTAACTCTGAAAATATATACTTACATGAAGAAAAGGAACATTTTCTGGAGTATTCATGTTTTTTATTGAATTTGAGATAAATTATTGAGGGCACGGGCACCCCAAAACAAATTTTACCTTACCGTAATTCACTATTTTTTAGCCTCACTTGAAATAGTCACGAGCCGCCACTGTTTATTCGCTTAAAATTACCTAAATGTCGATTTTTGTAATTCTTTTTCGTCTTTTTTTCCTGGCTTTTTTCTTTTTTCCCTCTTTTTTTAAAATTCATCTAGCTGTTTCTCAATTTTTTCTGTTTGTTTTTTTTTTCTTTCTTAAATTTTTTTCTCTATTTCTCTTTTTCCCATTTCTCATTTTTTTCTAATTTTTTGGTTAGTCCAATTTCTCGCATTTTCATTTCATTGAAAATTACTCTTGAAAAAAAAATTCAAGAAAAACATAAAGAAAATTTATTTCAATAATTTCGCAGCCACAATGCTCAAAAAATCAAAGTAACACCCTATGGCAAGATTTTTTTTGTCAAAGGACCCCGCACACCTCCTATGAGATTTTGGGATTCGGTCAATTTTCCTGAAAATTTGATATGATGCTCCTCTCAACATTCTGATTAAAAGTCTTCATAGCCACAACTTGATCCTATGACTAGTTTTCGAGATACAGGTAGTTTAATGTCCAAGAAATGCACACATTTTATATGCATTCACATCTACCTGTCACCTGAGCGTGGGGATACCTGTCAATCCTGGTATATTATTAGGTGACAGGTAGATGTAAATGCATATAAAATGTGCGCATTTCTTGGACAATAAACTACCGGTATCTTGAAAACTAGTTGTAGTATCAAGTTGTGGCTATGAACACTTTTAATATTGACCGAATCCCAAAATCCCATAAGAAGTGTGCGGGGTCCTTTCAAACTGCTCCCTACTTGTTGATTTCAATCTTGATTTCATTCTAATCTTCACAAAATAAGGCTCAAAATAGGGCCAAATAAACGATCTACAAATATCTAGTAAATTTGTAGTTTCAATGCAACTTCAATAGTTTTGTGGCTGGGAAGCTTCAAAGTCTTTTGAATTTTGACTTAGATTTTTATCAACGTGAGCGAGCAGCAGGAAGTTTTTATTTTTTTTCCTAAGTGCAACACTAAGTTAATTAAGAAACCTAATCATTGTCATGCCTTATTTTGTATGTTGAATATTACATGTTTTCTTTTAGTTTCAACCTTTCTCAGAGAGAATATCAAACATCGACGTCGACATATTCCATAAAGTAAACCACGAATATGAATCCCAAGAGGAGGAAGGTGAAAGCCATTTTCACCAAGCGATTCAAAAATGGAACGTCCTAAACTTAACAGAGGGCTATGACAAATTCAAAAAGAATATTAAAGCCCACAGTTATATTACTTTGCCTCAAGTTTTGTTAGGCAAAAATGAGATTGTTGAGGTGCTAATTCAATATTTGAACGAGCCCAATGTTTTATATTTGCAACCGATTTTAGAGTAAGTATTGTTGCAACTAATCTGAATTAGAATTAATTGTTCCTTGTTACAGAGTTGTAATTGCAGTAGCTCAAGACTTACAAAAAGAATTTTATATTTACTACCAAAGATTTTTGGAAGTTATTATAAATCTTTTGAATACTAAAGATACAGAACAACTAGAATGGACATTTACTTGTTTGGCTCATTTGTTTAAAATTCTATGGAGGCCCATTATAAAGAATATTAATGAAGTTTTTAGATCCCTTTTACCTCTGTTGTCTGACAGTAAACCTGAATATGTTAATTCGTTTGCTGCTGAAAGTTTTGCCTTTGTTGCCAGAAAAGTTAAGGACAAAACTGCATTTTTGGGACTACTGTTGAAAGCTGTACAAAAAAACAAAGATGTAAGTAATAGCAAGGTTTTTTTCATACTTCTGTCAAGTTTTCTTCTTAATTTATACTGTCCATGTTCTCTTATCCACATTTCTTCACTTATCTTATCTCGATTCTCTTTTTCAATTATTTATTTTCATATTTACTTTTTAGGGAATTTCTGGTTGTGGCAAACTTTTATTTGAAGTAATCAATGGCGTCAATGGACAATTTCACAGTTGTGCCGATCAATTTCTACCATTCTACTTTGAATCTTTGTGGAATGATCAATTCCCTCGAGATGTTTTGCATGAAATATTGGAAAAAATAATTTTGAATATTGCTAATAATATTCATTTTCAAAAAAACAAATTAGTTTGGGATACATTGCTCAAGAATTTGAGTGATGTTGAGGAGAAATATAAACTGGATAATACTAGTGAAGTTGTATTGAATAATTTTGAAATACTCTTGCAACTTATGGGACAAATGATCGAATATAAAAGTGGGAAACTGGTGCAAGATTCTACAGTAATTATACAACAGCTAGTAAAAGTGCTAGCATTAACTAATCTAAGAGAGAGTTTGCTTATTATTATCGTACAACTATCTATTTCAATACTTTTATCAAGAAATATAAGGTTGCCCCAAGAACAAGCTTCACAAATTATAAGAAAAATTTTGTCTTTAGAAGAAAAGAAAGTATTATTATATTTTGTGGATAATGTCAATGATAGCTCATCATTCGAAACAATAATTTTGCCAGCATTTTTGAGAAAATGTAGCTTGTACGATTTTGATGAAGATTGTTTATATACTTTAACCAAGTTGGTTCTAAAAAAGGCTCATCTGTGTCAATCTGGCATCAATTTAATACAATGGAAAAAGTATGCGCTGGATTTTAAAGAATTTAATGGGGAAATTTTTGAAAAATTAAGTTCCTTTATGAATATGGAAAATTTAGAGAAATACTTTTGTGCCTTAGTATGTTTCCCACATTTAGAACTAAAAGCAGAAAAAAGAAATTTAGTTTTAAATAAATTAAATGACAATATAAAGCTTTTAACAAATAAATTAGGCAATACCGATAATCTAAAAGGCTGTTTGTTTTGGATAAATATTTCATTAGAAGCACTCATTAATCTGGAAGGTGGAGCTGAAGTATTGGAAAAAAATTTCGAGAATTTATACAACACACTACTTCAATATGCAGCAAATGTGGATTATTTATTGGCATTGAAATCTTTAGATCTAATTTTCACAGCCTTGAAAGAAAGCAGTGACGTTATAAATATGGGAGTGCTGAGCAAATTAAATGGAGTTTGTGAATGTAATTTTAATAGCCCTTATCATGAGGTAAGTTTCTGTTGTCTATTCAATCTATTAAATTCCAATGTAGTTTTTGACAATTTTACTGTGTTATTTTGTCATCTAGTTTAGGCCATTATTTTCAAAAACTTCATATTCCAAACCTATTTTTATTTAATAATAAATCTGATTTTTTTTTATATTCTAGCAAAGGCATCTAACATCTCACATATACACGCTGTTTGAAACCCTACCAGAATTTCAACTAAAACACACGGATAACCCTGAAGTTCCTGCAGAACCTTTTAAAATATTCTCCCTTATTCACCAAGTTGAATCAATAGAACCTTTAGTGCAAACTTACCGAGACCAATTGCAAAGGCTGGAAAAACTTACCTTCGACAAACCTCAAATGATCATGTGCAACAAGACTGATTTTAGGCTTATTCCGCTACGCTATTTGTGTGGAGTTTTGTACATGAACTTCAAGTTACTTTGGGAGCCTGTTAGTAAAATTATAGAGTCTCAGGCTCATGGATTGGATGGAAATCTTTTTTGGGACATTTTTGGTGTAGAATTAAAGCAGGTTGTAGAACATATAAAAGTCAAGCCTGAAATTAAAATTGATGTAATAGTGACTGATTTTGATGTTTTGGGAGATTATTATCAGGAGTCTCAAAAAGTTAGTAGCAAATGTGATTTTGTAAATTATCGACTATTGTTATGGAAAACTTTGGGACTTTGTGCTGATATAGCTGAAGCTAGAACCAGAGATGTTGCTCAATTACTATTAGATTTTATCGAAAAGGAATATACAAATACAAATGCAGAAATGGCTACAACTTGTAATATAAAAACATTTTCAGAGGAAGAAAAAGAGCTTGATAATTCTGTTGTAAAAAGGGATACAGAATCGGGCAAATTGGGAAAGAAAATTACAATTAGAACACTACTTCTCAAGCTATCAGTATTTGCCCAATTTAAAAGTCCCAAATCAATGTATCGAGAATCAGAATTGTACAGATTATACTTTGAATTTTTAAAGCATAAAAACCCAGATGTACAAAAAGCTGCCCTAAATTGTCTGATGACTTATAAATTCAAGTATTTACTTCCATATAAGGACCATTTATATAATCTTGTAGATGAAAATAATTTCAAAAATCAAATATCCAATTTCCGAATAGATAAGGAAAGTACAGAAATTTTGGTAGATCACAGAGAAAATCTTATTCCTGTTGTTCTACAAATAGTCTTTAGTAAAATGAGCACCAAAACCGGTATGAGAACTGGAGGCAAAGCTTCAGGACAAAACAGACGAAGCTTGATCTTGAGATTTTTAGCCGGATGTGAAGAAACTGAAATGCTTAGCTTTGTACAAAAATCTTTTGCAACTTATAGTAAATATTTGCAAGAAAACGATTTGGATTTAATAAAATCAATAGTGGAAAATGTTGATTTGGAAAAGTGCCTCGCGCCTAAAAAATTGCTAAGCACTATCAATTTATTGAATGTAATTTTGGATCAGTTTGGTGGTTTGATGGGCGATAAGTTACTTACCTACTTGATAAAAATATTGCTTGTTGTTGGATCAATGGTTAGAGGAATTATGGTGCAAATTGAAAAGGTAAGTCACGATTTTCTAACTTTCATTACTGTATTGGTAGTTGATTTAGGGATTAGGGATTACCAAATTAATTTTACCCATTTTTACCATTGAATTATCAGTCCAGTCAAAAACTCATGGTCTAAAAAGCTTTTGTGGCCCAGTAATGAGGTAATTAATTAGTTGTGCAGGAATTAATTTTTGCAAAAAAAATCCCAATGAGTCCTGATGTAACTAAAATACATTTCAGTTATCAAACACTAAATGTTTGAATATTAACTTTCAGTGTGGCTTTTTCAGATCAAAAAGCTTAACATTCAAATTTTTCTATGATCATACCAATATTAAGAGTGGAATTATTCATTATTCGAGACATCCTTTTTTGGGAACGACCTATGTAGATGATTGGCTTGGAGAAGTTGATAATTGCTTAGATTTAGAAACTCGAATTTATATGTACGCTGAAATCTCGGCTCAACTTCTGAAAGTTCATGAATTTCAGTTGTACAAATGGTGCTCAAAAGCTGAAAGTTTTCTTGACAGAATTTTCCAAGAACTAAACTCTTTTTCTTGTGTTGTGTCTTGTGATGTCGAAATTCACTATATGAATAATGGGGTATTCCAGGAAAATGTGGTCCAGGTTTTCAATCTGGCCACACTCACAGTACGGATTCTCTTTTACCCCTATCCTGCAAAGATGCTGTCCTGTCGAACAGTGCCCTGTACACATCCTGGTGATGGACGTGATATGCCGTCTATGTGTGTATTGAAGATCTTTGTACCATGTTTTCGTTGGGAACTCAGTTTGCACCTGCCTGTACCAATTCCCCTTTTTATTGAGTGACTTCTTCCAAGAGACTGCATGTTCACAATTTATTTTTGCTTTGATCAGAGGAAGGATGTGAGATGGTTCCAGAGGAAGAGCCCTATAGAAACATTTAGAATTCTTCCTATGTTGGCAAGCTTGTTAGCACATTCTTTGCCAGCCAGGCCAGCATGGCCTGGAATCCATGTTTGCAAAATTAGCTTCTACAATAAGTCTTTTCGTTTTAAGTTCTATTTCATTGCTGTCAGGATTGATGTAGGTTCTTTTCAACTTGTCTATTGCACTTTTTGAGTCAGTCAGGATCAGTGCATTTTGATGTTTTTTTGGAGTGCATAGCACACTCCCTCATTTATGGTTACCATCTCCGCTGTGCAGATATCCATTTCGTCCTGCAATTTTTGCAGAGAAGTTGTATTTTTTGCTGGGGCAGTGAATACCATATCCAGCTTTTCCATCCTTCCTAGAGCCATCCGTGTAGATTTGTGTGTATGAGCAGTCGAGAGAGCCAATACTTTCCCTGAATCTATTGATATTGTTGGTTTTAGCTTTCCTAAATGCAGTTCTATGACCGGCAAACAGCTCAACTGGACTTCTCTTTCCATTTTGAAATATGGCAAGGCAGTTCTCCATTTCATCCTTCTTCCATAAGGCAGGAAATAGTCGTATGCCTGTACCAGATAGGGGACCTCAACACCTTTCCAGTAATTTGCATTGTACGTCTTGTGATGTTTTATTTTTTTTATTATGATTATAAGTGGGTGATTTTCGAAGCTGTAGATTTTGGACAAGTATTTGACAGCGAGCCATCTTCTCCTGTATTCCAGATCCATCATTCGTGCCTCCGCCATTAGTGCATTTACGAGGGTAGACCTCATGCATCCTAGAATGACTTTGAGTCCTGCATTGAAGACACTGTTGATTTTCTGTTGGTTTTTTTTCGAGAGTGACTTCAACAAAAAGGCTCCATAATCCAGATGGGATATTACCAGTCCTTGTAGGACCATTCTCAGAGTTAGAGGGTCAGAACCCCACCATACTCTGAGAAAAAATTTAATTACATTGAGTAATTTTTTTGCCTTTTGTATTATATTCTCTGTGTGTTTATTAAAGTTTAGACGGTTGTCCTGATGTATACCTAGATACTTAACGGTTGTTCGGAGGGGGATGATGTTACCATTGATTTTGATGGGTTGAATTTCGTTTCTTTTGTTTCCTTTAGCAAAGTGAACCAACTCGCATTTATCATAGGACAGTTTCAGACAGCTCTTCCTTAACCATTTTCCAACGATATTCAGGGAGAAATTTATACTATTTGCCATCTGCAACGCGGATTTTCCCTTTAAGAATATTACAAAGTCTGCATACATATCTCATAATTTGGGTTTCCTCTGGCAGTAATTCGAATAATTTCTGTATGTATATATTGAACAAGATTGTACTTAGAGGCGAGCCCTGCGGAAGTCCACAGTTCACCACTTTAGGGCCAATCAGCTGTCCTTTTGTGTTTCTAATGTAAATTTTTCTATTTCTTAATATTTCTTGTATTAGGTTGCAGACTTCTGTGAAGATGTTAAGCCTGGTCATTTTTGTATATAACTTTTGCAAATTGACATTGTCGTAATATGCTGCTTTGATATCCAGGAAAACTGTGAGGACTGTACACCCTTCATTGGAAGCAAGCGTAATGTAGGAGACAATGTATACCAGGCAATCATTAATTCCTTTTTTTGTTTCTATAAGCTGTTTGTTGCCATGAAAACATTTTTTTGTTTTCCATTTTCCATTCTAATCGATTTTTTATAATGATTTCCAATAGTTTCAGCAAACATGAAGCCAGTATAATGGGACGGTAGCTGTCTGGATTTTCTGGATTTTTATTGGGTTTGCATATGGCATGGATGAGATACTCTTTTCACTGATCAGGTATGGGGTCACCCCTCATCAGGTTGTTGTATATGCACAGGAGTTGATGTTTGGCCTTTTTTGGGAGATTTGAGATCATGGAGTAAGAGATTTCGTCAAGTCCCGGTGCTGAGTCTTTTTTTTCCTTTAGTGCAGCGTAGAATTTACCTAAAGTTAATGGGATGTGTTCTGCCGCATCTTGGATAATGACCTTTAGCTGGATTGCAGAAGCTGCCAGCCTGTCTAGAATTTTCGCTCTTATATCGTCTGTGGTAATTGTTTGGGATTGTTTTTCATGCTTGCGTGCAAATTTTAACCAACCTTCCTTGATGCTAGAGTCTCTGTTGACTGATGAATAGTAGGCCATGAATTTTTGTTTTTTTTTTTTCCTGAAAAAACGTCTTGTTTTTGAAATAGTATGTTTCATTTCTATGAACTTTTCCATAGATGGGTTATTTCTGTAGTCCCTTATAGCTGTTTTTCTTTTTTGGAGTTGCTCTGTGCATTCCTGGTTCCACCAGGGATTTCCAGTTTTTTTCCTCCCCTCCATTATCTGATGATTTTGGTATGTGCGTGTTGCCAGCCTCTTGGATGGGGTCCGAAAGGTGTCAGTTTTGAGCTTAACTTCATTGTATTATTCAGTCCAGTTTGCCTGGTGGAATTTTCTTCTTGGTATGTTGCAAACTATGAAGTTTGTTGCGTAGTGTTGCCTTGTCCTGACATTTAATTTGGCTATTGTGGGGAAGTGGTCGCTGTAGCCACAGTCTGAAGCTCTCTCCCACAAGAAACGAGAGGCCATTTCCAGATTAGTGAACGTGATATCTATGGGGCTTGGGTTTTCGTTTGGAGGTTGGATTCTTGTGGTTTCACCATCGTTGAAGATGATGTGATGTGGTTTTTTATAATTTCCGAGTGTTGTTTTCCATTAACATTTATGATATTGCTGCCCTACTCGTGGTGGTGTGCACTTAGGTCTCCGATGAATACGATGTTTCCAACCAACTGTGCAAATATGTCTGAGTAGATAATGTTGTTTTTGAGGCAAATTGCCACTCCTCCATATTCATTATGTCTGTCATTACTTAAAATATGGTAGTTCTGTAGGTGAAAGTGTTGACTTGGTTTGAGCCAGGTTTCGTCCAATAGGACGACATCTGGGTTATATTCTCTAAGTATGTTGATTAGATTAGCCCTATTGGATATCACACTGCATGTTCCACTGCATCAGGACTAGTCTTTGACTAAACATTATATTAAAATTTTGACGATGTGTCAGAGTCCTCCAGAGTGTTGGACTCCTCCAGGATGGTCTCGATTAGGATGTTTTTGAATTTGTCAGGGCACTGTTTGATATAATCCAATAGAAATGGTTTTGTATAAATATCATTTGAATTATCATTATTAACTGCACTGGGTGGCTGGTGTTGATTGGATTTTGATGTTGTTGGACTATATAGGTTTTTGGTCTGGTTTTGTGCTAGACGTTCTACTGGTTTGGAATTGTATGAGAAGAATGCTGGTTCGATTTAGATGTTTTTTTCTGGTCGAGAGTTGGGAGAAATTAGGTGGTAGCCCCTTTTTGTTTCTGGGCGTCTTTTTGGTGGATTGTCTAGAATTTGTTGCTATGAACTGTAGTATAACATACCCGGGTTCGCTCAGTAAGATTGAACGATGAGAATTTTTATTACCTTTTAAACAACAAATCTTCTGAAAAATGAAATGAAAAACCAATAGGACCTACGTTGTGAAAACTTACTCAATTTTACTTACTGACATAGCAAATATTTGGGAAATTTAAGGGAAGCTGTGATATGTAAGAGAAACGAAAAATTTGTGAAACGTCTGCTTTATTATCAAAGAAAAACGTACCGTTCTCGACCTAGAATTCTCGAGGGAAAAGAGAACGGCAGAGAAAACCTCGATCGAACATTCCCCAAAAATCGAAACATACTGTGTCATTTTAAATAATCATCGTGAGTCAATAATTCAATAAATTAAGTCAATAAAAGTTTAAATTAGGTACCGCCCCTGTTCTTGTGCTAAAATTTTAATTACACACTCAACATTCAATCAACACTACCTATATTCAATACTGAAGAGTTTTTGTTAGTTAGCCAGTTTCCCAGCAGGTACTGAGGTCCCATACGGGAAGCTACTCAGCTATAGTTGTTTTTGAGCCAATATCTCTAGATTGATTATTTCAATTTGTTAGGATATTCTCTCGTCAGGGTAGGAAAATGTTAGTAAATTCAACAAGGCTCTAATGCACGTTCTGAATACACAAAATCAAAATCTCAGCACAGAAAGACAGCACATAATTTCTTAGGTTTTAATTTACTCTTTATCTGTGTTGTTTACAGCATGAAACGATTTTGGTTAAATACATAAACAATGCACATGTTATAAAAAATTGTTATAACCCAACAAAAAAAAAACATAAAAATTGGAAAAAACATAATACTTGCGTAAATTGAACTCTCAAAAATTAAATAATAATTATTTAACTGACCTGGTGATCGCTTCTTGACACACACATACTAATAACAAAGTAGATTGAACAATTAATTTTAATGCAAAATAGGAATGAAAATTGAATAATGAATAATTACAGACACGCGTTTAAAGGAACCAGTCCGTTCTCCAGTCTAGCGTCTAGTTGCCTATTCTCTTCTGTCCTTTTCAGTTTTGGTACTTTCGTATTTCTGTGGCGCGTTCGTTCAATCCTAAACTTGGTGGCGCAGACATGGTTGCAACATTTATTTTTATTCAATAACCGATTTTTAAAAGTTAAAATTTGAAGAAATAATATTTTAAATAGGTGGTTTTCCTCAGAACATTTATTTCTTGTGGCTTGTTGGGAGATTGTCATTTGTCCGTCTTTGTGATACAGTAATTGCTTCATTTTCTTCTGATCTTTTTGCCGGGTGGACTGGAAAGTCATTTGGGCGGTAGGTGTATTGTCCAGCGTATTGTGATGCTTCTCTGTAGAAAGAGTATGTTTTTGGGCACATTTTTTGATTTTAAAGGGGATCATCAGCCTTAGGCCTTTACTAATTAGTCTTTGTTCATTGAGAAAATCATTAGCTGAATTATAATCAGTGAATTCAATTGCAATTTTATTTCTACCTTTACTTTTTGCTTTATAAACAGAATTAAAATTTGGATCAAAGATTTCTTTGGCTATTTTTAAATCAGAATATTTACCTATATTTTCATCATTAGATTCAACGCAACAATGATATATGGAGAAGGATCAAATTGTTCATATATTCTTTTGTATCTTTTTTTTTTAAACCTGAAGTATTGTTTTGATTGTTAGATTCGAGCAAATTATTGGCCTGATGGCTTTCAGATTCCATGCTGTCTGTTAATGTTAAGGTGAGTTTACACATGCATGGATTTAGTGGCGTCAGTGGTCGCGCCAGTTCTATTTGCACGCCATAAAGATTTACACTTTGTGTGAAAAACAAAAGTAAGTTGCACGTCAGTTTCACTTTTAAAGTGTTTTTCTCAATGCGCACTTTGTCGAGTGAACTTTCCGAAGCCTGTAAAATAGTCGCTAAACTTTTAGTGAAAAAAAAAAAGATAAAAGAAATACAGAAAAAGAAACGCAACCAATGAAAAGGCCGTTCCTTGGTTAAACCATGGATTGGTCGTCGACCTACTTTGGGTGTTTCTGCAAAACTTCTAGGAGAACTCGCAGCAATTGAAATGAATATCAAATGAAAAACTGGCGAGCGGACGCCGACGTGCAATCACTTGTTTACACCTGCAAGTTTTGATTGTCTGTTCGAATTTGTCACCACTAGAGCCAGTGATTTCAGAAGCGCAGACTTTTTTGGTCTATGCATGCAAAAATAAAATGTGCATGCAAATCCATGTTTACACTTGCTAATAAAATTTCCTGTCGCACCAGTTTTTATTGGCGCCATCCATGAATGTGTAAACTCACCTTTGCGTGTAAATTATTATCAATTTCATTTTCATTTATTACCTATTATTTTTTTAATTTCACTGTTACTCAAACTTGAATGGGGGGAGCCGCTCCCCCCCGGATCATCAGATATATTTGTACTTATTTTCTCTTTAAAATCCAGATTGACTCTTACCAAGGGTCTGCGATTTTGCAAAAAAAAACACGTGAGGCCCCACATAGAGGATTGGTTAGTTGGGACACTCAAAATTCGTTCGTGCTCGTAGGATGTCGCGCACGAGAATTAAGAACTAAACTCATTTGAACCTAATTTTGACGATTCTTCAAGTTTAAGGATTAAAATGGGATTCTTTTGCCTTTATCAACTTTTTTTTTTCCCAATTACACCAAAGGAAAATTTGTATCTACTATGGCTAAGTGCTATAGATCTTCAGGTATTTTTATCGTTTCTGGAAAATTTGTTATTTGAAAACCTTGTATATTGGAGCTAGATTGGAACAACCCCCATAACTCAAATGCATATTGGAAGCTTATGATTTACCTCTGCTTAGAAAGTCATTGCAAGGAAACACTTTCACAAAAATTAATTCCCACTCTAAATCAATTACTCAAAATAGAATCCTGAACGCATTTTTCCACGTTTCTTCTTCCAAATCTTATAATTTCCATTCATCCAGTTACAAGAAATTAAGTGGCTTTTACTGTACAATAACTTTATTTACTATTTCGTTTTTTTTTTAAGGTTCATTCTGGATATCTAGCAATTTTAAGAAACGTCAGAACATCTTCAATAAAAACCCTCGAAAGGTTCTTTGAACATTTTGATAAATATCCTTGGAGCCCCACCCAGATAAACGCCATTTTTGACACATTTGTGTGGCCCTATTTGGACAAACTAACCATTGAAGGTATCCACAGCCCTACAGCTTTGTTAAAACTTATCAAACAATGGGGCTGCAAACCTAGATACTTCAAGCTGCTCAATAAATTTAGAGAAGAAGACAAAAGCCAGTATATTTTGCCTCAAGTTTTTAAGCTTTTAGTTAACGAAAAGAGTAATATTTTGGTTGTAAATGTAATCTATGAAATAATAGAAGCGTTGCTCAAATACGAACCATCGGAAGAAGAATTGGAATCACAAATTGAAGTAGATAACGTTTTATCCATTGACAAAAGCATTTTAGATAAATGTAAACTTAACGAAAAGCTCAATTATGGAAGTTGTATACTTTTGCCACACGTCCCAACAGTTTTAGAACGAATTAAACGAAAACTTGAAGGCAAAAATAAGTCTTTGAACAGAACAGAATTATTTATTCTATGCAGGATTTCAGAATTAGTTTGGGAAAGTTCCATAAGCAACTCCATCTTACAGCTTTTAATGCCCATTGTACTAAAAAAGTCCTCCTCAGACGAAGAAGTTGTCATTCAACATTTAACAACCGTTCATAATTTGCTTAAAAACATTGAAAAACCTGAGATTCATTTAAGAAATCTTACACCACTATTTGGTGAAGTTGCCTATGCTTCATGCCGCAAGATTTTAGTTAAATCCTTGGAACATATTTCAAATAAATCTAATGATATCGATACAGCATCATTTTTAATTGGAGAATTGAACGCGTTTGATGCTAAATGGATAGATCAGCCAGATTTTGATAGAAGACACGAAGGTTTCAAAAAAATCCAAGATTTAATTAAAGAAGACAAAATCGATGTGTCATTTGGCAGTCTTCTAGTTTATAATTTATACTATTCAATGAGAAATGAAAAAGATTTGTCTTTAAAGGATAATGCTTCACATACACTAAGAACATTGTGTCCTTATCTAATAAACAAATTCCAAAAAAATCCAAAAGATTTAGAATATATTTTAAACGATTGCATATTTAGTTTAATTAAAAACGGCATGAGAACCAATAATAATACAGATTTAAGAAATGAATGCATTTCTTTATTAGGATGTTTGGCAAGAGATTGCCCTGAAAGTCATTTCGCTTTAAGAGATTTAAACAAATTCACAAATAAATCGGATCTTGAAGTAGATTTTTTCGAAAATTTAACTCACTTACAAATACACCGACACGCTAGGGCTATGACCAAATTCTGTCAAATAATCAGAGAAGAAACTGTAGCTCCAAATCCAAAAACCATTACCCAGTTTTTGCTGCCACTGGCAACCTATTATATATGCTCGGAAAAGTTTTCCGGCAAAAATGCCGTTATTGATGCTGCAATTGAAATGGTTGGAGTTATTTGTAGAATAACTCCGTGGCATCAATATGAAGGAATGTTGAAGTATACATTATCAAAGTTGAGGTATAAAGTTGAATTTCAAAAGCAACTAGTGCGATTGGTTGTGGCGATTTTGGATTCCTTCCATTTTGATTTGAGTAAAGGATATGTTGAGGAATTGAAAAATAATTTTGCTAATAATGATAAACCTAATAATGATGTCGTTGATGAAAATAAAGATGTTGCTGTTGAGGAAATACTTGAGGATGTAGATGCTGACCTAAGTGATTCATTGGATGAAGGGTTTGAAGATAATGAGGAAAGTGATGAGAATGAGGAAGAAAAGGGGGATAAACCAGGGAAAATTATTGACAAAATTACAGTTTTGTGCAAATCTACTGCTACAAGAGTAATTAAAACTATCCAGGTGAGAGTGTTTCGTGTTTTTTTTTTTAAAGATTATAATTATATATTAATTATTTGTCTAGGTTGTTCTTCTGCCTCAGCTCCATAAATCATTAGCCGAATTAACTCAGTATGATAATTCTCATAAGGTGAATAGGAAAAAAACTGGATTTGAAAGGGAAGAAGAAGATTTGGCTAGAGTTCCTATTTCTTTGGCTGTTGTGAAACTACTACAAAGATTACCAAAGGAGATTCTCGATTTAAATTTACCAGGGTAAGTGTATTAATAAAAAATAAACGTATCCAAGCAAATGCAATATTTTTATTCAAAAAAATATGCCATGCAATTTTTTATAAAGATGTGAATGACTTGAGGGAAAAAATAGGGGGCACCCGGGTTTGAACCGGGGACCTCTCGATCTGCAGTCGAATGCTCTACCACTGAGCTATACCCCCTTAATAAATCGAATGTGATTATTGAATTTAAACACAAACTGCATTATTATTATTTTTATTTAGTCTCACAGGATTGATAATCAATAATCAATATATCAATCACCTTCAATGTTATCTGAATACGTCAGCTAATTGGCTAAACAACAATGGAAGTTTTATTTATGTATATTTCGAGGTATAAGTATTTACTATTAATTGTTTATATTTTGTTTTAAAAATAATGATGATTTTTGCAATTAGATGCCAATGCAAGCCTATTTCAAGATACAATTTTTTCGTATAGTAGGCCAGGCAACATAGGGTTCGTAGGCGAATTAATTCACGGAAAGCTGGAAATGGTTTTAATCTTTTTATTTATGTGTAAAAAGAGGTTTTTCAAGTTTGCACATATTTTCTGCTTGTGCTCTATTCCTGGTGTCCCAAAAACCTGGACACTTGCTGACTTTTCTCAGTTTTTCACTAATAACTCCTAAACGATGCATTTCTAGGAAAGTTTTACTCATTTGTAAATTAGAGTACACAAAATTCTGTGCCGAATGAGTACCATACACTCGAAATTGTCTCAAGTCGTTAGGAAAAAAATTGTTTTGTCCTGTGAACTAATTGGAGGATTGTTTGTCCTTACAATGGGATTAGACAATCTAGTGGAATGGTGCAATCTGAATGCTTTAAATATTACCATTAATAAGTGTAAAGTTGAAGTTATGCGATTTTATAAATGTAAGAGTCCCCACAGATACCAATATTCCATTGGCAACTCCGTTCTGGAAACTACATAACTTTAACGATTTGGGCGTAATCTTTAGTAGTGATTTAAGTTTTAACCGTCATATCGACTCTATTATTATAAAAGCAACGCGAACGGTTTTTTTTTTGCTACGTAACGGTACCTGTTCAGATGTCTGCGATGTGAAAGCCATTATACCTGTCTTTGTATAACTGTTTTGTATAATAGTATCATTTGGTGTCATATGTATAATTGTCATGTCCAGCGTCTTTAGCGAGTTCAGAAAAAGTTTGCAAAATTTTTATTGTACAAGTTGCGATTTCCATATGAAGGCCTGCTTTATCAAACTCGTATTCAACTAGCAGGAATCGAAAGTATGGAACGACGTCGGCAGAATGCACTAGTGCTTTTTTCGTTCAAATTAACTAACTGACAAATGGGTTGCAGTTTACCATTGTCCTTAAGCTCAGAACACTGGAGCAAACTGGATAGGGAGGTAGAGCTGTAGAGCTAGTTGAAATATTTAGATACAGCTCACCAAACCAACTCGCCAACACGCTCTGCAAGCGTGGCGTTTTACATGCCAAAACCCCTCATCAATGACCATGTCGAATTTCAAAATGAAACTACCCCAGGCGAGTAGAGCACAAGGCTCTGAATCTCGCTCTGATCAACCATCAGGCTACCTCAAGGATTCTGGGGGAGGTAAATAGTCAACACATAATAGAAACAAACAAATAGTGAACAAGAAACAGAAACGACTAAAAATTTTACATATAGCTGCTTTTAACATCCATACAATATGATGCAAGAAGAACACCTAGAGGCCTTAGAGAAAGAACTTGCTAACATTGAGTGGGATGTGGTGGGACCGAGCGAAACGAGACTCGTGTCATCTATGTCGTACTCAAACTGACCAACAGGTGCAAAATTCAAATAATACACAGATATGCTCCTACCAGTGCATCATCGAACGATGAAAGCGAGCAGTTTACGAAGACTTAATAACAGCTAAAGACGCAGAAAAATCCAAATATACCATCATAACTACAAGAAAATAGACATGGAAGGGTCCAGATGGTCGTGTAACGAAATAGACTATATACTGGCTTCGGACAGGAAAATATGCTCGGACGCATTTGTCCTGAACCGATTCAACACGGGCAGTGACCACAGAACGAAAGAAGGTGATTACAAAAACGACAAAACCATCTATAGAAGAGTTGACAGAAAAGAAAAAAAAATACGATAAGCAAATAGACAGGAAGCTCCAACCAGTTGGGGCTCTTAAACAGCTAAACATAGACGAACTAAACACCAAAATTACTAACACGATCAGAGAAGCCACAAAGAAAGTTTGCGCTCTTAAGACAAATAAAAGCGAAAAACTCAGTGTTAACACAGCCCAGCTAATAAAAGAGCGTCGGAGCACACACAGGGATGCACCACAATATAAAACATTGAACAAGCAAGTAAGATCAGCGATACGCAGGGATATACGGGCGCACAACACACAACAGATTCTTGATGCCATCGGAGATAATTTAAACATGAAAGTACTACGCTTAAAGAGAGCCAAAGGAAAGATGGTCATTCATAAGATGAAGAACAACCTGGAAGAAATAGTTACAAATCAAACAGATATAGTGACTGTGATACAGGACTTCTACCAGACCCTGTACAGTCAGTCAGTCCCGCAGTCAAACCAAACAGAACAAAAACCGACCATCTTGGACGTGGGCTCAGAAGACATTCCCGAAATAGATGGCCATAAGCTCAGAGTAGCGCTAAACTCGATGAAAAACCATAAAGTTCGACTTCTACCAACCTATAGAGCAGGTCGGTTTTGGGAAAGGGTACAGCACAGTCGACCATATCCAAGCAGTTCGCACACTAATAGAGAAATGCACGGAATATAACGTGCCTCTGCATCTGGCATTCGTTGATTATCAAAAGGCCTTCTGGATGCCATGAACAAGGCAAGAATCGATTCTAGATACTCGGACTTTATTGAACATATTTATAAAAATGCAACGTTCTAAGTAAACATCAAGGAAGATTTGCGACCCGAAAAAATCAACATCCACAAAGGAGTGCGACAGGGCAACACGATTTCCCCAAAACTTGGAGGACACGTTCAAAAACCTGAGGTGGGAACAAGAAGGTGTGTGTGTATAGACGGAAATTACCTGAATCATTTACGTTTCGCAGACGACATTGTAATAATTATGATCCAAGACATAAACGAACTAGAGGAAATGATAAACGAACTTAAGTAAGCTTCAGAAAATGTTGGCCTGCGGATGAACTTCCAGAAGACCAAATTCCTCTCTCATTAAAATGTCCAAATAACATTAGATAACCACAACTTGGAAACCGTGGAGCAGTACATCTATCTGGGTCATAATATCAAATTGGGCCTGGACGACCATTAACCAATTAGCGTAAGTCACAAGGCAAATCGGCGTGATTTGGGCTGCCTTTGGAAAACTAAACCATATTCTCAGAAACCGTAAAGTCCCAACTTGCCTCAAGAAAAAAGTTTACGATGCGTGCATTCTCCCCGTTGCAACGTATGGCCTAGAGAGTAGGGACCACTACTCTTACGGTCAACAACATAACCGTTTAAGAGTCTGCCAGAGAGCAATGGAGCGAGCGATGCTGGGTATCAGCCTGAGGGATAAAATACGCAAAACGGAAATTCGCAAACGCACCAATGTATCGGATGTCATAGAATAGAATAGAATAGAATAGAAAAATACTTTATTGTCAAGAATACAGGTTCTGTAGACAAAACAGACTATAACATAATACTGACTAAAACTAAGTTGTATAAACAAATTTCAAAAACAGTAGGTACATTTAACCACAGAACCATTTAACACATTAACATTACGACAAAATTGATTAACTCATTAACAAAAACCAAACAAAACATATTGGGCCAGTGGCGCAGCCAGAAATTTTGTCTGGGGGGGGGGGGACCATGCAGAAAAAATTATAAGAAAAAACACAGATCCTGTTTCCTTTAAATTTTTCTCTGATATGAGCAGTTTTCAGCTTTCGTCTACTTCATTATTTTTCTGGTTTTCTCTGAAGCCTTGAAGCGTTGGGGGTGGTCTCCCTGGCTGCGCCACTGTATTGGGCTCTTGCTTGCAGCACATTAGTATAAAAACAAAAACCAACTTACAGGCAGTAAATAAAAACAAATAATTATAGTCCGGGGGCCGAGGACCTTTTTTTCAAATAATTAATAACAAGCTAGTTTTTTCAATGCAGTTTCATTTCACCGAGACGCCCAACTTTTTTCTCAACGAAAATTGCGAAAACAGGTAGCTAACATACTGCGCAGGTGTAAAACACGTCGATTTGGTGACTATAAAAATTTAATCAATAACAGTTAGTTTTTTAGCTAAATGTTGAGATAATTTTATGAATAATTTGAAACAACCTTTTTCCGACAAAATAAAGGGTTTGGTCTACGATGTCCCCCCCCTCAAACATGTAGCAATTACGTTGCATAAAAAATGATTAATAACAAGTTGATTTTTTCAATGTAGGTTGGCAAATATTATTACAGTTAAATGGTCACACTGTCCTACAAATAAACAGGTAGCTATTTTCAGTCCTACACTCAAAAGTTGTCGATTTCACGATTTAACTTTTTTTATTAATAACCGGCTAAATCTTCGTGAGCATCTTCATTTTGATAAGACGCCCAAATTTTCTTTTGCCAAAATTCCAAAAAAAAAGGTAGCTAACAGAGTGCGCAGGTGGAAAACATGTCTATTTGGTGATCATACAAATGTAAATAATAACAGTTAATTTTGTAGCGAAATGTTGAGATAGTTTCATAACTAATATGAAACAACATTTGTCCGACAAAATAAATGGTTTGATCTAGGCTGTCTCCCTTCTCAAACATGTAGCAGATACGTTACATGAAAAATGATTTATAACCAGTTGATTTTTTTAATGTAGCTTAGTAAATATTACTACAATTAAATGGTTACACTGTCCTACAAATAAAGAGGTACATTTCTCCAGTCCTACACTCAAAAGTTGTCGACTTGACGGTAATACTTCATTCA